GCCGCCGGCCGAGGAGCAGGAGGTTCGGCTGACTTCGTGGCTGTTCTCCCGCCGGAGGTCAGCTCCCAGATCTTCAGCGGCCTGGACGTGGAGAGCTTGTGTCATGCGTCCGTGACATGCAAGGGCTGGCACCGGGTCATCGAGAGCAACGACCGCCTGTGGAGACACCACTGCCTGACCGTGCGGGCTGTGTGCCAGCGGGAGATCGACTGCGACCGAGGAAGCGGGTATTCCTGGAAGGTAAATGTAACGCCGTGCGAGCAGCGTCGGGGCTTCTGGGACTGGCAATAAAAATGCGTAAAGAAATTACTTGGGCCCAGCTGTTCTGTCCCGGGGTACAGGAGACCTGCTGTAATCACAGCCTGGCTCAGTAGTGCATCCCTGCAGCTGGGCAGTGGTAAAATACACGCAGGGGTGAGGCCAGGCTGACCTGCTTCCTGTCCAGGACCACGTCTGGACAGCTCAGCTTGTCCCATGTAGTCCTCACGCTGCCCCACGCAGCCTCAGCGCTGATGCTGTGGCTGCCCCATCCCTGGCAGTGTTCGAGGCCAGGGTGGGCACACGGGCGTTGGGCAACCTGCAAAAAAAGGGGTTGGAACTAGGTGAGCTTTAAGGTCCCTTCCAACCCAAACCATTCTATGGTTCTGTGACTCATCACATCACAGCCTGCACAGCCCTAGCACAGAAGAAAGCCCACATCCCTATAGGCACAGCTGGGGGATAGAAGACAACATACCCCCACTTGGCACTGTGTGCTCTCTGGTTGTATTAGATGGGAATAGTTCTGCTGGTGAGGAATTACTTTCCAGAAGTACATCCTGGGTAGCTCTGCCTCAGTACACCTTAAGCAACATGCAGGAGGAAAAAGATTGGGGTAGAGAGAAGGAAAAAAGCAGAAGCTCCAAGAAGCTGTTCTGAAATTCTCTCCACACACACTCCCAGTTACAGCTGCTCTGAGGAGCTCAGAGCTCAACATGCTGGAAGATCATGGCCCGCAAGCTGAGGCAGAAGTTTCAGTACTCTGGACCAGCTAGAGCGTGATTCCCCACCTCATTTAGCTGGTGTGTTCGAGAGGAGGGGAGCCGTGGAGGGGTAAAAAGAGAGAAGCAAAAAAAGAAAAACCCAAAACCAAAACAACCTAGTTCTGGACTCTCACATGTCAGTAGAGGTGTTTCAGTATGAAGCAAAGCCATGAGCAGGTAGTGGCTGCCTTTTGAATGTACAGATCTTGCTACTTTAGCACAGGAATTTCCAGAACTATCTGCACTGATTCTCTTATGTTATCTGGTGGGGATTTGAAGTAGAAGCAACAAACACACTGAGTCAGCATTTTCTTGCAGTAAAAGGTTGGCTAAAGAGAAGAAAAAAGCCAGCCTGCATTAAGAGCCCCAACAAGAGTTAAAGGTCACAAGTAACCTAAACAGGAAGAGAAAGTGAAAGGTGTCTCTTTTAAGGAGTAAGATGAATTCCTGGTTTAGGGTTTTCATCTTGACCCTGAAAGAATTAGGACAAGTGATTCTCCACCCAGTTTAGAACAGAAAAGTTGGAAATAGACCAAGGTCTGCTCCTTGGCAGCAGCATACCTTCCTGGGCTTAGTCTAGATAATCCAAAGACACATTCCAAATCCTTTTGCTAGCATTACTCTTCCAGTGCAAAAACTTGCATTGAGTGCAGCTGAAATCAGTTCATTTCCAAGACTTGAGCTGTCTGTTTTTCCATTAGATCACATTACTGAGAAACTACTGGAAAAGCAAAGTGAAGCAAGAATGGCTGAGTGGGAAATACAGCAACATTCCTTCACAGAACAGCTTGCCAGAGAAAAGCATGTATCCCATGGACGTCGACACATGGGGAGAAATCCTAGAAGCAGAACTCGAGAGATGAGAAACCACTGCTGGTTCTAGCAACTTAAGAACCTTCTACCAACAACCCACAGACTGCCAAGCCGTAAAGATTTTGCTGTTCAAGATCAGTTGTGTTTGCAAACATACGATGAAAGCTTCTTAAAAAAAAAGTTACATCTTTTATTTGCACTTTATCCGATTATTTTTCTGTAAAATTCTAAGACAGACTAAATATTCAGTTGTTATTTTGTATTTGTAAGTTTGATGTTCTGCTATATTGTCAAAAAGATGTTGATTGTACTCTCAGTTTGCACTTTTTATTTTGGAAGAGATGACTTTTAAGAAAAAGAAGTGTGTTTGACTTCAAGTGTATTATACCAGCAGCACGACATGAGAGCCCACGAAGGCAGGTTGGGAAAGGGGCAGATCCAGACATTGGAAAGAAAAGGACAAGGCAGCCACCTCAGGATTGGCTCTCACAAGGATCTTCTCTGAACCTCTACCCACTGAAGTGTGGTAGTGTCAGTGCTCAACAGTGCTGCGTTTCCACTGCCCAGCTGTGGGATTTCTGGATTAGAACCCTCAGATCGAGGCAGGACTGAAGCAGCCACATAACTTACAGCCTCTCTGCACTTCAGTCATTTGCATGAGGAAGAGTAGAGCAGAATTTACTACTTTAAATAAAACAACTCAGGTAACCATGAGAGATAACACAACTTCATAGATTTTTGCAGTTATGCTAAAACACAGTCAGAAACTTAGTTTTTTCTCCCATCACATGAACCCTGCTTTACCAGCACTGATTTCTGGTGCAGACTTTAGAAACCACTGCTAGCAGAAGAGGAGATGCCTGTCACATTACACAACATGAAAGTCACCACGAAATCAACTTATTACAATTCCACTCAAGTATCACCTTTCCCT